CTTGATTTGAGGCTGATAGTACTGAATGTGATCTTAGATGCTAATCTCCACGATGATGTAGGTGTACATTTGTGTATTTCATTTCATTAAATACAAACCTCATTAAACTCTCATCGGTAAGATCTCTTTCATGAGAAGTACTATCGTAGGAAAAATGTTTTCATGAATTATCTCAACAACCATTTTAATGTGGAAATTGTACTTTATGAAAGGTGATTCCTAAAATTAATACTTTGTTTTTGCGGGGCGATTCTTGCATCCATTTTAAGAAAAAAATATACTAACTATAGATACATTTTCTCTAATATTGCTTACTTAAATTAAAAATTAGTTGTTGTATGCCTAAATTTAAATGCTCAAAAAACATGAATGAAAAGTAGATTTTATTTTTCTTTTGAAAAACTAAGCAATAAGATACGAAAAGAAGTCTAGAATCAAAAAGGATATGTAATGTAAAACATATATAGGTTATAAAAAAGTCAGTTTTATCTTACCTCGATCCAGCAATCACTCCCTAAACATCACAATAATATATACATAATACCTACTTACCAAGTATTAATTTTGACAATTTTAATTTCGAAAATTTCTCCTTTTTCTTCATGCCCAACCAATTAAATTTCATTGCAAGTTCATTTGAAAACAGCTGGGTCAGAGCTTCTTTTACATTTACAACTCATAACTGCTGCCGCCGCCTGATCTTGCTATCGCTTTGACCTAGCCAAATAATAAAAAAACAAGGCATGACGTTGGTAGACTGTTTGGAATGGTTCGTGCAGCTTAGAATTTATCAAATCTTATGTTATATCTAACCATAAAGCTTTACTTACATGAGTTCTTAGTTCTTCAGTAGCAATAATACCACAAAAAAAAAACTTAAACCAGTAAGCACAGCACACAAAATCCTCAAAATAGACTCCAAGTCACCGTATACCCTATACCGCCAACAAAAACAAGGCGGACGATGAGGCTGAGGAGAAGCCAACGAGACTCGAGCGAGTCCGGCACTGCACGACCGCGAGTAGTTGCGTCATTGGTTGCGGCCGAACGTTGTTGTCAAATGGGATCTTATTAACAAATATATTATTTTTACGTTTTTGTAATTTTTTCACTTAGATGAATTCGTATTTTTATTAAAATATCTTTTAACAAAAATAATAAAAAAAAGTTGATTTTAACGGTTTCAATCGGTTTTTTTTAGGACTTGCCAACACTGATGTCGATGTAGATAGATAGATATATAGATATTTATTTCGCTTTTCGATACTACATATAACACATATATGGGTATATTAAGCACGTCATATCATATTAAAATACAGTGTTTAAATAATACATTTAAAAAAAATCATCTACTGTTAAAAAGGTCTTAATTCTTTTCTTAAACACAGATAAACTATCAGTTTCTTCGAGGCATTTATAGAAATTTAAAGCTCTGTTATATACTTTCAAGCCAAAATACCTTGGGTTTTGTTGCCCGATATGCAGTCTAGAGAATGGAACATCCAAGTAATCTCTTTGCCGTGTGTCATGTTCGTGCAAGTCACATCTCCTATTCCATCTTATCATGTTACTCTTGACGTAAATCAAAACGGAATAAATATATAATGAAGTGTCATGATCTGAAGTTCCCTAAATAAATCCCTAAATGAATATTTACTAGTTACACGCATCATGTAACGAATAGCACGTTTTTGGGCTAAGAAAACCCGGTGTGCACCAGTGGCTAGACCCCAATAGATTATACCGTAACCCATCACTGATTGGACCAGCCCATAGTACACCAGCTTTAAAACGTCAATGGATACCGTATCTCGAATATTTTGGAATAAGTATGAGCAGGAGCTTAATTTGGGCAATATGTTGTCGATGTGATGATTCCATGTAAGTTTGTTGTCAATGTACAGACCGAGAAACTTAGTAGCCTCCACGTTTTCTATAGAACGGCCCTCCAATTGGAGGAGAATACTGGAATCAACGCGAGTATTTTTTGTGACTATTTCCATAGCTATTGACTTAGATTTATTTAATTGTAGTCCGTTATCGCGACACCATTCATTCACCCTCGTGACCCTTGGTTCTGCGGCCCCTTTTAAATTAGCTCTGTTTTTATCTGTAACTAAAATGCTTGTGTCATCTGCATACAGTACAAATAATGCATCTATATTATCCTGAGGAAGATCGTTAATAAAACAATTAAAGAGGAGCGGTGATAGGCAGGATCCTTGCGGGGTACCTCTGCCTACATATTGAGGGCTAGATTTTGAACCGCCGATCACAACCTGCTGTACTCTCTCGGAGAGGTAAGATTTGACCCATGAGTTTGCTGGACCTCTAATGCCCATATTTTCCAGTTTTTTTAAGAGCAGGCTGTGATCGACAGTGTCGAAAGCGCGGCTCAAATAAAAAAATAAGCCTAATGTGGCTGTTTTGTTATTAAGGCTATTGTAGATATGCTCCAGAGCACAGTCCAGAGCTGTAGTTGTGGCGCGGTTTTTTTTAATTACTTGTGTTATCTCTACTGTTGTACTAGGGTAGAGAAACATCGAGCTTGAGTGTATTTTAATATCAGGCGTTAGATTTTAAAGCTGCTTGCTATTGTTAGCAAGATCAGCAAAATATTTGTTAAAAATTTCACAGATTTTGGATCTGTCTTGTAGTGTTTCACCACTAACGGTTATGTTGGTTATAGAAGAGGATTTACTTTTATGGTTGCTATTTTCCCTGACTATTGCCCAACTTTCCCTACTTATGTTACCAGATTTCATTAACCTTAAATTGTGGTGAGTTTTCTTTGCGTGTTTAAGTTTTTTGTTGTAATGGGATTTAAGTCCTTTATATTTTTTATTATACAGATCATTTTTTATTCTTTTGTTTACTTGATGCATCTCGTGTACCACACGACTCAGTTCTCTTAATTCTCTATTAAACCAATTGGTTTTTTTCCTGTACGAGACTTTTCCTTTTTTTGTAAATGGAAAACTTGACATAAATATTTGTTTCAGTTTTTCGTAAAAAGTGTTAAATTTTTTATCCAAGTCATCAGATGTGCACAAAAACGTTGCCAATGAAATGTCTCCCAAAATACCACAAATCTAAAAAAACTAAGTATTTTCGTTCTCAGTTGTTAGGTTTCTATTCTAATGTTCCCATTATGGCGCAAGGGATACCCTCCTCTGAGGGTATCCCTTGCGCCAGAGAGGATATCTGTGGTATATCGTATCCGCAAGCTATCCATTCGGAGGTTATCCCTGGGATGTATTTTACAGCATATCCTTAGTATATATGCTAACGTGTATCCTAAGAATATTCTCCACTCGGGACATGCGACTTATATGGGACATTGACGGGATATAATGAGGATATTGTGTCCTATCTGGATGTAGGTCAGGGTGGGGCAGAAAGGCCTACCTCAAAAATTAACCAGTTTTTTTTTTTCGTTTTTTCTTCTAATAATTATAAATTCTGGTTATTTGTTTATTTTTAGCCCTTTGTGAAATACCACGGGTAAAATGGACCGCTGAAAAATTCTAAAAAAGCTGCATGTTATTGTACCCGAATCATAATTAATTTATTGAAAGTGTTATTATTTGGATAATTTTATGGATATAGCCCAAAACCCAATCTTTCGAAAATCTTATAGATACCAATAATAAATTTTTTAATAGATAGAAAAATGGTTACTAATCAATATCGTTTTTTTTATTAAATATTTTTTAATAATTAATTTGAATTATTTCATATAATATTATAAATTGGGGAGAGTGGGGCAGAAGTTTCGACAAAATTTTAGTAAATTTTGTTAAAGTTAGTCGACTTGATGGTTAAAATCCCCAAAAAATAATAAAAAGCTTAAGTGAACCGCGCCGCCCCATCCTCCTCTAATGATTTTTCCTTTTTAAAGATATAATCTATTAAGATGACTCCATGGCTATCCCAAAAAAACAGTCGCCCTGCGCAGTCCACGGTTTTGACTGCAATTTTGATTCCGGCTTAAAATGGAGTATCCAAGTTTCACCTACATTAATTCATCGCCGCCAAAACTTGAATTTACTGTGTCTAAACTGTCCGTCTAAAAGAGCATTGAAAACGTTCACTGGAACACGTTTTTGATCTAACGTCAGTAAACGTGACACCAAACATATTTAGTAACTAGTGCCGCCATCTTCAGGGTGATGTAAGAAACTTTTCAAGTATTTTGAAAAGCATAAGTTTTGACTAGCCAACCGGTCTGGTACCCCTGTATCTCAAAACCCCTAGTGTATTTACGCCAAAACAAACACGAGTTTATCCAATATAGGCGAGTAATTTTTTTCCCATTAAACATCAAAGAGATGCGAGTAAAATTATTACAAACCTCGTTTTCTAATCCGTTTCGATGGCGGTGAGGTTTTAATGCGATTGGATTTTTAGTGTCCGTCCGGCGGAAAAATCGTGGAGCTAATTTCGATAAATAGTCGTCCAATTACTTAATGAAGGCTCTACGTTAAAAGGGGAATAAAAATATCCAATGGGTTATTATGAATATCATTCAATTAAGGATATTTTTTCCTCTGATAAACGCACGACATTTTTATTTGGTTCGTCTGCAGATTCAAGTTCAGTGATTATTTTACATCATCCCCCAAAATGACTTTTTCTTCTTCTTCTTCTTCTTCTTCTTCTTCTTCCTCTTCTTCTTCATGTGCCTTGTTCGTTACGACCGTTGACAATTATGACAATTCTAATTTTATTTTCTACACTTCTGAATAATTGTAGTGATGTCAACCCAAACCACGGGAGTAAATCATGAAGCCACGGATGTCTTCTTCTTCCTGGTCATCGTCTGCTGTCTACCTTTCCCTAGACTATTAATTGCAATCAGTGGAATTTGTCGTGCCTCATTAGATAACCGAGGTATTCTATCTTCTTTTTCTTAATGGTGAATGTTTCGTTGTCTTTTCCCATCCGGCGTAACGCCCTCTTTCTATCAAATATAACAAAATCGCTTTTTATTTCAGATACATAGCGGTAACGCAGCCAATCAAATACGCAAAACACAAGAACAACCGCCGCATATGGCTGACGATAGCCTTGGTCTGGGTGATATCGGCGGCAATCGGATCACCGATAGTTCTCGGGCTGAACAACACTCCCGACAGGATACCTGACGCTTGCTTGTTCTACAACAGCGACTTCATAATCTACTCGAGCCTGTCGTCGTTCTACATTCCCTGTATTATAATGGTGTTCCTTTATTATAATATATTTAAGGTGAGTGGCTCTGTTGAAGCGCATCAACAGAAAATACCGACGTAGCGGTGCCTCGAGGCCAAGAAAATTCGTTTCAAATCCTTAAATTATTTTCAGCAAAAGGCTATCACGCTTGACCCCCGTTTCCGCACAGCCAACTCGCTTCTCAATTTTCCTTTTTGATTTATTAGTTTTACGAGGTGTATTTTTATGTTTTTATTTTGTATTATCGGCTGCGGCTGCGGGAAAATAGGTGAGCGGTGGTTGAAAATGTTACGGGGGACTTGAGGGTTATCCTTAAAATATATTATAGCCGACGGGCCATGGACATGACCTCTCCGTGCCAACAAATCAAAGCCACTGTAATAAAGAACCCCGTGAATTGTAAAATATATTATAATTTAAAAAAATAAGTTAGATAAGATCAGTATTCCGACCAAATATACAGAGGCTTGAAGGGCATTTTTCATAACACTTCCCTGTCAATTTGCCATTTCGATCGATTAGAATTGGAAAGATTATGCGCTTGCGCCCAAACTTATGTTTAATAATAAGGTAATATAGCAACAATAATAATAATAATAATAATAATAGACATTATTCATAATAACCGAAGTATAGGGTATTTTTTTTCGATGTATAGAACTTTAAGTTGCAATAAAACATCGATGGATTATTCGATTGACATGAATTTTATTTATCCGAAAAATAATCTTGTGGCATTACATTTTATTATTATGATTTCTGGCATATGACCGCCACGGCTGGCGCGGATGTAGTCCAATCCGGACGTCCAATTTTCGATGGCTTCTTCCAACATTTGTGGCCGTATATCTGCAATAACACGGCAAATGTTGTCTTCCAAATGGTCAAGCGTTTGTGGCATATCCGCATAGACCAATGACTTTACATAGCCCCACAGAAAGTAGTCTAGCGGTGTTAAATCACAAGATCTTGGAGGCCAATTCACAGGTCCAAAACGTGAAATTAGGCGGTCACCAAACGTGTCTTTCAATCAATCGATTGTGGCACGAGCTGTGTGACATATTGCGCCGTCTTGTTGAAACCACAGCTCCTGGACATCATGGTTATTCAATTCAGGAATGAAAGGGTTAGTAATCATAGCTCTATACCGATCACCATTGACTGTAACGTTTTGACCATCATCGTTTTTGAAGAAGTACGGACCAATGAGTCCACCAGCCCATAAAGCGCACCAAACAGTCAGTTTTTCTGGATGTAACGGTGTTTCGACATACACTTGAGGATAAGCTTCGCTCCAAATGCGGCAGTTTTATTTGTTGACGTAGCTATTCAACCAGAAGTGCGCTTCATCGCTAAACAAAATTCGCTTATGAAAATCGGGAACAACGGCAATCTCGTTTTGGGCCCATTCGACGAATCTATGTCTTACTTGATGATCGTTTGGCTTCAATTCTTGCACGAGTTGGATTTTGTAAGCACGTAAACCAAGATCCTTCCGCAAAATCTTCCATAAAGTGGATGGAAACAGATCCAATTCCTGTGCACGATGGCGGATGGACTCATTCGGGTCTTCCTCAATGCTACTCTCTATAGCAGCAATACCTTCTTCTGTACGCACCGTACGGCGTCTCTGGTGCGAGTTATCAATAAAAGTAAACGTGGTGCGAAAACGTTCCATGGTTAATCGAATTAACTGCTCTGATGGACGATTTTGTCGATGATAAAATGGACGTAGTGCGCGATACGTATTTCGCACAGAACCATTATTTTAGAAATAAAATTGCACTATTTGCAAGCGTTGTTCACGCGTGAGTCTATTCATGATGAATTGCCGAACCCAAACTGAGACTAAATCACTTGAGAGCTGTTAAACCAGTCGCCATCTTGAAGAGTAATGCCAACTTAAAGTTCTATACATCGAAAAAAACACCCATTATAAATGTATAAACAATATAAATATATTGTTGCGGTTGCAACATTGGGGTAATTCAACAATCAAAAAAATTTCGCAAGCACTTTTTACAGGGTGAAGTCTAACATAAGGCTATTCAAACTTAATCCAGGTCAAACCAAGTTTATAGTATAGTAGATAGCGCGTCAACTTATAAATATACCAATTAATATAAATTGTGTGTAAAAGAAAGCAAGGATATCATTATGAACTGTTTAAAATGCAATAACTACAATAACAAATTTATTCCTAGTAACAGAATTGCGATGAGAAGGGTACACCAAAAACTCTAGTTGACTGAGCTATGTTATCTACAACCCGCTCAAGTCTTAATAGCTTCAGGATCACTCTTAGACAAAACCATGATGAGACAATGCACGTCAGCTTCACTTTGCTGGTGCTTGATCGATTTCACACTATATATATATATATATATATATATATATATATATATATATATATATATATATATATATATATATATATATATATATATATATATATATATATATATATATATATATATATATATATATATATATATATATATATATATATATATATATATATTCTCACGTATTGATTCACGGATGAAAAAATGTGATGACACTATATTCCGGGACATCATCCGTTCGCTCGTTGAACTCCGACTGGAATCCTGCAAATCTTGCATCTGACTGGAATCCTGCAGACGTTTCGCCAAAATCTCACTTGGCATCTTCAATGCTCGCGCTCCGAAAACAGTGTTCGACGTGTTTTCGGAGCGCGAGCATTGAAGATGCCAAGTGAGATTTTGGCGAAACGTCTGCAGGATTCCAGTCGGATGCAAGATTTGCAGGATTCCAGTCGGAGTTCAACGAGCGAACGGATGATGTCCCGGAATATAGTGTCATCATATATATATATATATATATATATATATATATATATATATATATATATATATATATATATATATATATATATATATGGATAACGGGATATTTCATTATGTTAAATAAGGTAATTGAATCAGTGCCCTTAATGCGTAGGTAACAAGACTCTGAGAACAATTAAAACCTAAGGAAGATAAGTAGATGGCGCTGCGCGAGTCGTACTGCTTTCGAGCAGTTGCTTAAAATTGGTAATCATGCCTATGAACTATATTCTATTATGAACTATTTCACCTTCAATAACCTCTATCTTACCTCTCTTACCTTATTTAGATATCTAGGAAACACCAGATGGTTAGGAATGTTTCCCATTTTTTTCAAGTCCCAAGAGTTAGATTGACCATTGACCATTTACCTTAAAATTCTTTGTTTTTGCGCAGGCATTGCGGAGGAGGGCGATGCAGCAGCGGGCGAATCGAAAACCTCAACCCGCCGAAATCAAACCCGGATCTGTGATAGAAAACCTTGCGAGTACGCGACGCCTGGCTGAAACCACCCTCGGAGCGGGCAACATCGACGAACCAGCCACCAACACTGGATCGGGATCAGCCGATGAAGACGATGATATCGTCGAGGCCGAGTGTCACGTCATCTCGAACGATAAAAGTACCGAATTCATCCTGGCAACGGTGGTTGAAGAAGCAGCGTAAGTCGATCCCGCCAGACCCAAAAGGGGTTGACTACATAGCACCAAATATTTTCAAGTCGTAAAGGGCTACTCTCGGTAGGCGGCACTCTGTACCATTCAATAATACTTGTCAACACCCGGTGCTGACAAACGTATACCGGGTGATGCATTGCCGAAGAGAACACAGGAAATCCCATGTAAATTTTTTAGATGCCCAAATATTGGCTCCCCTAAACAGTTTATAGTTGTAATAAAACTTCTTCACGGGGCTGATATGATTAACTCATGTGCCGAGTTTGAATAAATTTTACTAAGCCAGTCTTCATTTATTGAATTAAATATTACGGCAAAATTGCCAAAGGTCAATACAACACCACCGAATATTATGTCCATGACGCTATTTCCAAAACTTGACGACGTTAAACTGGACAATGACATATCAAATACAAGTTGGTTTACAATAAAGACATGTACATTTGGTTTCACACATTCAAAATAAACTAAACATGCAGGTATATCATTGTTTTTCTCCTCCTTGTCCCATAAAGGGTTCTTGGAATGAATTTCATTTAAAGGGCGGCTTAAGCAACAAGGAAGTTTCAAGGAACAACTATAAATTGGACCCTCGAGTCTTTTATTGAAAATAATTAATAATTATAATAAAAATACGGCTACAAAGCATTGCTAAAAGGAAAAAGAAACAACCCTACTTTAACAGTTAAACAATATCGTAAGCGATCATAAAATTCATTTCTAACATTGCTTAATTGATGTTGTGAAATCCTGTTACATTCTAAGGAAATGGCGTTTTATAACTGGTTAAGAATTTCAAATGTAAGGGACACCACAGAAAGAAGTCGTTCGGCGAGAGGTGAGGTAACTTGGGTTGCCAAAAGATTCGGCACCTTGGGCCACTAATATTCCCGTTAAAAGTATTTCCCCAATACTCCCTAACCATAAGGGAATTGTGGGCTGGACAACCATCCATCTGGCACCAGATCTTCTGATCTTCGCGAACAACTTCATCAAGTGCGGGTTCGATTTGATTTTGTATTAAGTAAAAATAGGTTTCTGCATTGATAATAACATAATGTCTAACTATAACATTTATTTTTTCATGATATTGGCTTCGAGTATGAACAAAACAATATTCATCTTCCAATACCGACAGTTTTGAACTTTTGGCTCGTTGTTGAGTGTGAAAATCCAAACCCGTGCGGTAAAATCCCGGAAAAGTGGCTCGGATTCGTGGGAAACTGACGTGGTAAAGTGACGCTTCCCGTACGCTAGATCGGTGTGTAATTAGGTATTTTATCGTGCATAATACCACTTAATTATGGTTACTTTTTCTTCAATTGAATAACGTATATTTAAATTCCATTAAAGCGTGTTGTCAATCACAAATAAAAATATTGTTACTGTCACGAATTTTCGTGTTGTCATTGTCATAATGCACTGGTGTTTGATTTATTACCTAAACCATAAAAATGTTCTCCTTTTGCGTTAATATTTAATTCAATAACTGAAGATTGGCTTATTAAAATTTTATCAAACTCGGCAGATGAGTTATTCATACCGCCCCCCTTAAAAAGCACAACTTTGCTATAAAATGTACAGGGGAGCCAATATTTCGGCACCTAAAATATTACATGTGATTTCCTATATTCCGTTCCTTTATATTTTGTAAATGTTTGATACTTATTTCGTGGATTTCGTATGCTCCCATTAAATAATAGATTTATTTTTTACCCCAGGATCTAATTAAAGTGCCTTAAAAAATTGAAAACTCCACATTTAACTAAAGTTTATCTTTAAATTAAATATGGAAAATTAAACATAAACCGGCACCCTTTTGGTGATTTATTTTTTTAAATGAGTTCTTAATTGGTATTCACAAAAAAGTGTAAACACCCTAATATGAAAAAATAATATTTTTTTATTGAAAGTTGGAGTATACGTATAGTGGACGAACAAATTTTGAAATTCAAATGGTAGAGGCTACGCTCAACTTTGTCTAAAGAAGTAAACTTTCTATAGAACGCGAAAATTTGGATCTTTGTTCCTTTAGGAGTATAGTTTTCAGGCATTGTTCTTTTGAGTTGCGGCCAACCATCTAAAGTTTAGCAGGCTAGACGGTTCGATTTTGTTGATTATCTTTTAATTTCGCTCTTACAACTTACAACCGATGGGGGTTGGTTAGAGAAATTGTTTTTGGATCTTCCCTGTAACTTTGGATCGAAATACACTTCAACTTTAAACCATTTTCAAAATTTGGGTTAATGTATGAAAAATGGCAACAGTTTTAATATTACATTTCTTTGTAATAATTTAGTTACAAGGTTTCTTAATGCCTATAGGACGTTTTTCATAATCGGTTGCCTATCATTCTGCTCCCAGATACTTAGGAAATACTAGTAACGTAAGCTAGATTTCTAGAATCTGAGCACCTTTAGTCGATGCTTTTGAAATTTGAATTTTTTTTGTACTTATCCTTATTTTTGTTGAAATAGAGCAGCAAAATAAAGACGTACCGAAGAAAATGCATTTATTTAGATATTCAAGAGAATTCTCGCTTATGATCATCCCCTGTAGGTAGGATGCTCAAAATATAAGAAATTACTGCCAAATTGATTTACTTTTAATTTAACTGAGATGCTATTTTGAACATTAAATTTAAGGTTGTTTTTCAAACATTCATTCGATGCCGAATATATGCCGGATGCACGCTTCTGAAAAAAGGTCACCTCTTTTGAAGAGATTTTTTTTGTGTGTAGTATCGACTCAGTCTTACAAGTACGTTGTTTACAGAATGCATCGTTCCGAATCGGAATACGAGAAAATGTAAGTGATCTTATATTAATCGAACCCTCGTCATCACGGCACACACGAATTCCTTTTTATCCTTATAGCATGACGATTAGTCCGAATTCACTTCACGTTAGCTCACGAGAGGATAAAACCGATACATAAACCTTCTGACCGAACTCCCACGAGAAGCAAACTGTCCCTTATAAAGAAAGTATTAGCTTTCAGCCCCTCCATACATATTTTATGCGGTGATACGTCGGCAATGAGCGGCATTCCGCTTTGAAAATTAAACCCCCCGAGAGTCGGCCAAGAAAGCGACCCTAACCTTGACAAACTTTGCGTATGGGGAACTCAAACAATTTCTTTGGGGTAAATGGGGAGGTAGAAATGCGACGGCGGTAAATTTTTAAACCGGTTTAAAGCGATTAGCATCGTAATATTATTTATCCGAAGAATACGCGGGCATTTTCTTTTAGAAAGGAAATGGACGTTGAACAGCAATTTTTATAAATTTAACACAACAGGTTCCGGTAGAGTCTAATCCCTTCACAGACTGTCATTTCACAGAAGCAACAACAAATATTCACGAAAATCCTAAAATCTAAATAGAGTGTGACCCGCTTGCCCATGTGAAGTGCGCACTTTCCCTTCAACGCACTGACGTAAAATAAAAATTTAAACCCAAGGTTCACATTCCAAACGCTATGCGGTGTTGCTGACCCAGTCGATTTTCATTTTTTCCCCATGACTTGTTGCCTTCGCTAAGCCCATATTTTCTAGAGAGTTAGCAGAATCATTTGTTACAGAATATCAAGTGTGGTGGCTAGTCTAGCCACCCCACGTTCACTTGCAGATCCTAATGGTAACAACGACTCTGGATACGCGCAAAGTCAACCTGATAGCACAGCGCCAGACAGTCCGAGACAGTTTGGGACGCTAAGGAGCTCCTCGAAGAAAAACGGAACGACATTGGACACCGAAATGAGGTATGAAGAACCAAAATACAAATCTCGGTCTCAAATTGTCGATTAATAACTAAATGGTCCCAAAGTATACACTAACCCAATTTGATAGTAGAGATGTTTTCAAAGTAGGGTATTAAAGTTTTTTTTTAAACTTTTTCGTATTAATATTTAAAATACTGCCAATTTTATTTATAAGTTCACTGATTAAGGGAGGTGACGAATTAAAAAAATCATTAATATTTTCGAATTTGGCAACTAAATATTAATAATAATAATAAAATAGGTCTTGTCAGTCTGTTCAACCTTGGCGTGTGCTTTGAGAGTAATATCCAAAAAGAAGGACTAACCTGACGTCCTTTATAACAAAAAGAAAAAGATAGCTCTGTCCTGTGAGGTGCCCCATTGGCATATTCGCCCGACTTGTTGAGTAGTGGAAGTCAACAGCTGTCCTTTTTACCATGGAATTGTTAGTAGAAACGATTAGAAAATCTAATTTGTTATGGGATATGACAGATAGAAGGTGTCTGTTAATAGACAGGGAGTGGACAAAAATGGAATTAGACGAAACAAGTAAAACAAAAGGTTAAATGTAATTTGAGACTTTCTGTATATTTAATGAGATTATTTACATGCATATTTTTTTGAGTATAACAGGCAGTGATATTGTTAGTTTTATGCGATACATGATATTGGAACATAAATTAAGTAATTCGAGTGAATTCTGCAAGTATCAAAACTCATTATTTGCAAGTCTGGCATCTTAAAATATATACATTACACATATACATACATATTTACTGTTTTCTTATTTTTTTTAATTATGGATAAACCGATGTGCGTATTGTAAAACTTTCTATGTACGGAATATTAAGAATATAGATATGAAATTCCATTGAAACACATGGTTGGTTAGTTTGTGTATTGTGTATTGATAGATCTTAGTGTGAAAAATCTGCAAAACTTTTTCCTTACAATGACTGTTCTTTTCGTAGCCCTATTATTTCTTTTTCTTGCTCTAAAATATTCCGATGTTTCCTCAAAGTCTATAATGATGTTATGCATTGCTTCAGCAATATGCACAACATTTTCTTTGGTATCTATAGCTTTTCCTAAAATTCGAAACTTAGTAACTATGCTTCCAAATGAACAGTTCACGAGCATTCTGGCTCTTAAGAGTAGGTAGTTGAATATGTCATTATCGGTTCCCACCTGCAGTTGAGATCGCGGAAAAGGAAAAGATCGCAAAGATAGCAACTTCGTTTAGTGACGTATTTATACGAACGAGGAAAATAAAACCCATCAAATATATGGGAGACAACAAATGTCAATTAGATAGGTATGTTTTTGAAAAACCCAAACTCGGGGGAAATATTAGATATACTCTATCAGAAGTATTATTTTAATCTTACTTTGGCATCATAATATCGTTTACAATCTAACCAAATATCTCTATCGCATTAAATTGGCAATAATAAGGCGGAAGTCGTAAAACGTCATGGCCCTTTTCCAATTCTAACTTGTCCATTTTGAAATAACATCATATTCAAAGAAAAATGTTTAGAAACTTCCTATGCAGTGGTTCTTCAATAACATCCACGGCTGGTCTTAAATTAAACTCGTCCGGAATGGGATAATCCTTTTTTGCAGCCAGTCGCTGAGAGACTGCGTGATCGAACTTTGATTAGGTATTGACCCAGCAAGTCCTCAGTGATCCAATGCATTGTCCATTATTATTAATGAAGATTCACTAAGACTGGGCAACAGCTGTCGATTGAGTAAAAAAAAATATATAAGTTAGTTTTTGCCCAAAGAAATGAGAGTTTCCGCCTACTTTTCCGATAAATAAGAAATATAAATCACCTTTCAAAAGTTACAGTTTTCATCGAATCATGGTAGTCCCCCGATTTTAAGGCTCTCTCACCATATTTCCTCCGAACTGTTTGTAGAGAATCGTCTTGACAGTATTTTCTAGACGCTCCTTTACTAAATATCCAAGTCCAAAAATACTGGATTGAATGAACATTCCGGTTTTTCATGTATTCTCTCAAAAATGTCAGTCCTTTGTGAGCAATACAATCTTCCATCAGATATTTTTGGCTTGAAATATTACATTTTTTTCAAAAAAATTATCATCCTTTTTAATCAATTAATTAATGAAGCATGTGAAATATCAATCGATACCATCGATTTCGTGTAAAGTTTTGTCTGAAATTTAACTTTATGTTTATGATCGGTTTGGATATCTAATGCATCGGCAACACGCTAACAAGTACCTACCTAATTAATACATTTCAAAAACTTTTAAATTGCTTGCTCATAAAATACGGAGACAGCAAATACTTACATTGTGTACAGCGCTTAAGGGTAAAAGCGGTTTCCCAACATTTTCTTCTCTAGTGAAATAATCCACCAGTTTTAAAATAACAGCTTGCTCTTTTTTAAAAAAATTTTGATGCGGCTTTTGACACAGATTTCGAAACAGACAAACAAAATTCTTGTCTCAATTTACGACATTCAGTAGACTTTAGATAACCAGTAGAGTACAAATTCTTGTAACAATAATACATAGAACCAGAATAGGCAGGTAATTCTGATGTGCCGTCTATACACCCTAGACAATGAGGAAACTGCCACCTTTCCCAAAATGTTTTCACAATTTCTTTGAATGTGGTAGTTGAAAATTCTGGCTATGTTCCATAATCAATTCCAAATTGGTGCACTGCCTGTTGCCAAGAATCTGAAAAAAAAAATGCGATTTTAGTTTTAGAAGAAACAGTTAACGGTGCAGAAATTTACGTGATATGAGAGTTCAAGAAGGTACTGAAATCGGGAGACAGTGCAGAACAGGTGCCTCTATATACAGGTTCTTGGTCTCACTTCGAAGCTATGCAATTTTTAAAGCGTGTAGAAAAATGGAAGAGTATCTAACAGCGTCTCAAGCAACACATATTACTAAAGGAGAGCCTGGAGAACTTAAATTGCACCAACATGACTTGCAAGTGAAAACAGGGACAAAAAGGAAAACACTGATAATGAATCACAGATTACACTACAGCTATCAATTTATAGTGAGACTCATACCTAGAGTTTACAAAAGGAAATGGAAGACTTTGAAAAATTATTACCTCAGGTACCTGCTTCACGCAAAGAAACGGCAAAAACGCTCCAGAAAGAGAAATATTGCAACTTGAGGTAAAAAATCTCGAAGTTTTAGCAAAAGTGGATGATGACAAGATGTCAGTCACTCTTCCAACATGTTAAAAAGCTTCCTTAAATGAATAAATTCAACTTTCAAACTGAAGTGCCAAATTTGCTGCTACAAGAATTAACTAAGCTTCAAAGCTCAAATTTTCCAATATTCGAGCAATGAATCACACACAAGCGCTAGCTGGTGTCTTTTGTGATAATATTAACCATAATTTCCTTTTTTCCCCAATAGCCATAAGTTGTCTTAATACATATTTATGCAAAAATTTATTTTTGTTTTCATAGCTGTTATAACAAAAATAAAATTGCTTTAACTTATAATTTTAAGTGAACGTGTTAACGTGAGCCTTCCTTCTACTGGAATAAGTCGCCAAAAATTAATTGCCTGATATCTTATTTCTTTGCTCATAGAGTAAATATTGAAACTCTTCAAATGTTCGTCCTAAATCAATAATATCTTTTGGTTTCCTTTTTACAGTTAGTTTTCTCTGTTTCACACTTCGCATATTAATTAACACATTCTCAGAGAGTAAAATGTTACGTCTGGACGACCAAGCCGTTTTTACACCACTGCATGTTCTCAGATCTTCTATTTTTTTATTAGAATTTTAGTAAATTATTACTGATAAAATTTTAATTCAAAAACATTTCGTAGGTATTTCCGAAATAATTTTTTTTGGGCCCTTCTAAAAGCGGCACATTAACCAAACTAACTTTGTTTTTTAATATTCTGTTTGCCCCAGAACTTAGCTGAACGTTTTTTCAAACGTTCGATTTCTTTCTACAAAGAAATTTATTTAATCAATATTATAAGATTTTGCAAAGGCAAGATTTAACTATCGAGGGTTTAACGGAAGAGGGAAGAGTGTACACGGAATTATATTTATATATGTTTAGAATAATGAAAACTGCAATATGAAATCGACGAATTTCACGATGAAACATTGACTATAGGAAAGCACTAAACAATGTTTCTCTTGTCCTTTCCAGGGTCGTGTCGGCGGTCAACTCTCGGACAGCAAGTGTGCGATCGATAGGCTCGAAAAAAGAAAAGAAAGCCACCAGCGCCGCCAGATTTACTATTTACAAGGTAAACAAGGCGAGTAGGAAAAAACGGGAGAAGTCCTCCGCCAAGAAGGAGCGGAAGGCGACAAAAACGCTCGCGATCGTCCTAGGTAAGGGTGCTCTCCGTCTTTCTCATCGACAAAAGGCGTACGCTTTTTGTTGTCATTTCGCACACAATATTCGACTTTATTTTCGGCACAAAACTTCGGAGAAGGTTTTTCCGACAGCGCAAAAAAAAACGGCCGGGTGGATCCTAACGATATTCCCGCTTATCCCAGTCACACCATTTGTGCATTTTTGTTAAAACTTTTTGAGAAAAAAACAGCTTTCGAAAATAAGTTACTAACCTTGTTTTAACACGTTGACTACTATTTCTATAACCTTTTTCGTTCTTAAAACCCTTTCACGTACATAGGTAACAGAACAATGCTCGAAAAATCACGCCTTTTTTAATATACTAAGTATTATCACCAAATCAAAGTAATATTTAAGTGAAAAACTACAAAAAAGGAAAAAAAAATAACTTCAAATTTTGAATCCATGAATACACCGTGTTGTTGCCGTTGAAATTATTTGGACAACAAATGAAGCTGTTAGTCAAATTGCGAACTTTTCGACTCCTACCAAGAAATATTTATATATTTATAGAGCAGTCGAGAGACTATACAGCAATGCAATAATTACAGGATTGCCCAAAAACTTAAGTACGGAGAGGGATTCCAGTCGGAGTTCAACAAACGAACGCATGGTATCCCGGAATACATTGTCATCACATTTTTCCATCCGTGCATCAATACGTAATATATATATATACATATATATATATATATATATATATATATATATATATATATATATATATATATATATATATATATATATATATATATATATATATATATATATATATATATATATATATATATATATATATATATATATATATATATATATACATATATATATATATACATATATATATATATATATATATATATATATATATATATATATATATATATATATATATATATATATATATATATATATATATATATGATGACACTATATTCCGGGATATCCTCCGTTCGCTCGTTGAACTCCGGCTGGAATCCTGCATCAGACTGGAATCCTGCAAATCTTGCATCCGACTGGAATCCTGCAGACGTTTCGCCAAAATCTCACTTGGCATCTTCAATGCTCGCGCTCCGAAAACACCTCGAAGTGTTCGAGAATATATATATATATATATATATATATATATATATATATATATATATATATATATATATATATATATATATCATCCGTTCGCTCGTTGAACTCCGACTGGAATCCTGCAGACGTTTCGCTAAAATCTCACTTGGCATCTACAATGCTGGCAATCACAGGTGAGAGAGATGATCCCATTGCTGCTCCATCTATTTGTCGGTAAATTTTCCCGTTGTACATAAAGTAAGCGTTTCTCAGGCAATGTCTTGACAGATCTATTATGTAGAGCGGAAGATCTTCGTTTTTATTCAAGAGTGCCTGTTCTACTGGAATGCTCGGGTAGAGGGATTTGACATCGAAACTTGCCATAATGTCGTCCTTGTCCATCCTGAGAGAACCTAAAATCTGAGTGAAATGTTCTGAGTTTTAAACATAGGAATCTGCCTTTTCCACTATGGGCTGAAGTGCACTGGCCAGATGTTTTTCCAGCTTGCATAATGGTGAGTTAAAGGCGCTTACGATTGGACGCAGGGGAACCCGGTCCTTATGGATCTTTGGGAGCCCGTAGAATTTTGGGCAACGACTCGATTTTTCCATCGGAATAAGTTTCTTCTTTGGTATCCTCGTTTATTGGTGAATCGAGAATTTTGGACTTAGTTGTTTTTTCCAAATATGTCGTGGGATCTCTGGTGACTAGTTTGTATATAGGGTCGTTCAAAATATCCTCCAATTTTGCATTATAATCCGACGTATTCATGACGACAGTGGCATTTCCTTTGTCTGCTGGCATTATTAGAATATTTTCGTTTTTGTTTAGATTCCTTAAGGCTTGCATTTCTTAAGTTTGGTTGCGGTGGGTTTAACTGTCTTAAGACTCTGGCGACATCTTGCCTAATTAACTCCGCATCTTGTTCGTCAATGGTGTAAAGACTTGCTTCGACGTTGGAAACGATCTCTTCGACGGGTAATCTTTTTGGAGCTATTGCATAGTGAAATCTTTTATTCAGTACGCTGACTTCTGTATCGCAAAGATGATATGCTTAAATATTATGAACTGTACTGCTTCGGTTTGTATTTGGCACTTGTCCTGATTTTTTGGAATTGGACTGCAGGATTTCTAATTGCTTCCACAGTTTTTTTGACGTGATGTCCTTGTCTTTCTCAGTGCGCCATGATGTTAATAATTCTATGCGGTCCCACAGCAACTGCTGTGGGATCTTGTTGCTCAGTTTCAGGTGGAGTCTAAAATGTTGTAGCTCAGTCTCACTAATTTCGTACCGGGTCCGCCTGATCTGGTCTTGGAGTAAGGCCTTGCTAGCTTTGTCCAGGATAGCTTGTGTCTTTCTGGTGCGTGTGTGATAAGACAACCTTGTAAATGTTGTCTTAGTTTTTCATAACACTTGGTGGCCGTAAAGGTTTCCTCCCCGTAAAGGTGTATGATATTTTCACGTATTGATTAATTGATTCACGGATGGAAAAATGTGATGACACTATATTCCGGGAGATCATCCGTTCGCTTGTTAAACTCCGACTGGAATCCTGCAGTCGTTTCGCCAAAATCTCACTTGGCATCTTCAGTGTTCGAAGTGTTTTCGGAGCGCGGAAATCGATTTTCATCAAGTAAAAGCCACCTCAGTTCAATTTTTAAAAACTTTACTTATTTTTTGAACAAATCGTTACAATGTGCCTGGCGGCAGCGTGATAATTTTGGACACGTGCGTCCTTACGCGGAGATGTCTGAATCGCATCTTTTTGTGGGTGTGCGGTGTAACACGCATCCCTACCCCATCTGCTTCAGCTGCGCGTCCATACACGGAACCTTTTGTCAATAAAGCAAATCACACACGTTACTTCGCTTTACGCTCGAACACACACGTAGAAATCAAGTAGGGTTATATCTGGTGACCTATGAGGCCGATAACAATTAACTTATTGTTAAAAATCGTTGTCCAAAATTAATATGTGCCTCGGAAGTTATGATCTGATGCGCCATGTTGTTGGAAATGGAGATTCTGCCTACTTATGTGGTCAAGCTCATCTGGAAAATCATCCAACATTTCAGTAATAATTGCAATGTAAGAGTATAGCTGACCGGTCAGCATGCCATCGTAAAAATTTAGACCAACAATGCGAGAATCAATTATACCGTACCAAACGTTAAAGCTGAAGCGAACTTGTGGGCTTCGTGGATATAATAGCAATACATTTTCTCTTTATTAATTAATCAATAAATTTCAGAAAATTATTTTTTTTTGGGGCGGAAAAAGTTAACATACCTCTGACCAAAAAAAGTCTTATCTCTGCAACCCCTGCCAAAAGCACCTGAGCTAGTCGGCATTTATAAGGGCAAAATTTGTGTTTTTTTTTTGCTTTGACAGTATTAAAGGATAGATAAGAGCCTTTGACTATGTCTCGAATAGAATTTTCGCAATATGCTTCCTGTGGTGAAATGCGCTGTGGTTTATGTATCGTTGTCACACTTTTCTTCGTATGTTAAATAAAACCTTTTTTGAATCAGTGATAAGTAAAATTAATATTGCAAATGACGTTTCTTGTTCTGTGGATGTTTTACGAACGAAACTTAATTTTCGTTACGTTTATTGAACACATCTTTTTGTGATTTATAGTATCATCATCATTAAAATATTGGGTGGCACAAATTCAAACAGTATCATTAGGATTTTGATAACAGTGTTAATTACAGAGCAGGTGTCGTTTTCAATTTTATTTTTTTCTAGCTCAAAGAGGAGATTGAATTTGGAATTTAGAATTAGTCACATACGGATCAGGATATTCAATATTTTATAGACCATTTGTTAATTAAATTAATAGTAAAGGTTAACAAAAAACACCGGTAAGTCTGATCTTACTCAACTATAAAACTGCCTCCCAATATATCCATAGAGAATGCAATTCATATAAATAGGGTCAAATAAGAAAGTTATCTGAAAAAAGGCGGGAATAGTGAACTGACACAAAACACAGACATAATTTTGTAAGAATTATCTTTTTTTTTTGGATAACCCAAACATCAAACTACAACGTTCATTTAATTTTTCTGAATTGGTTATTTCATGAAGAAAACGGTCGAGGATAAAATCGCAATATGTAAAATTCTAAAGAACTAGAGATTCATATAGCTCCTTTTTTGTTCAAGTTTATTAAACGTTCACTATTATGAAAGCTTAAAGCTGAGCTTAAAGTATGAAATTGAAATTAAGCTCCCAAAATTTTGTCTAATTCTCAAATCAGTGTCCAATACCAAGCCTAGGTTCCTAGGAGAATCAACAAACTTCAAATTTCAATTTAGAGATACCATTTTGTGGTAAAAGCCCATCCCGAAGCCCTTTCTTATGGAAGATACTTTTAATAAGTCGCCTTATTCATGAAGGGATACATCTTTCACTATTTTATAGCCAATTAATTCCAAAATTTTTCTATAATTTATCTGTGCGCCTGGACTGTCTGACAAAAAACTCTAAAAAACCATTTAATAAATACAAAAAGCTATATAGCGGCGCGGAGAAGATATCTCTCTCCTATCCGCGAATTAGATCTTACGCCGATGCATCTGTCAACCGGCTGTGATTTACAAAATTGTCGTTGGCTAGGATAATAGTCGACGTGGAGCTTTTATTTGTCGCAGATATCGGATTAAGACGGCGACACGTTTAATTTTTGAGCTGTAAATAGCAATTTAAATCTCATCTGAAGATAACGTGATTTAAGGCGAAGTTAATTCAATGTCGCCGTCAATCCCCGCCCCAGAGTATCTCTCGCACTTAAGCCCCGGCGTTTAAATTTAAGTGGGGCGGCTATTACCCGCAACCGCCGCCGTGCCGGTAGGCACCTTGCGAGCAAAATACGGTGAAATTCGGGACCCGAGCTACGGCGCAGA